TCTCGGGACCAGGCGGCGTTGCTCTTGGGATGAGGGCGCCCGCGCTGCTGACCTGCTGCTGCTGCTGTTGGCTGCTGGTCCCCGTGAGTGCCCACGACCCCTATGCTGTTGCGCTTCCCGACAGGGACGCCCTGAGCACGGACAGTACCTAGACCCCAGACCCCGCCGTCCGTGCGGCGAGTTCGGTTCGGGTTCGGATTTGGACTTGCATTGGGCTTTGGTTCGGGTGGGGTCGGGCTCGGGCTTGAATTAGGGTTCGGATCGAGTCGAATTCGGGTCGGGTTCCCGCTCCGATCAGGGTCGGATCGGATTCGGCTTGGGGCTCTGGTTAGGGCTCCGGTCAGGGCGGGTTCGGGCTTGGATTGGGGCTTGGGTCGCTTCGGGTTCGGGCTCCCGCCACCCCGGCTCTGCCTCCGGTCTTCGAGTGTTTCTCCACCTGGTCCTTGTCACGGCGCGTGCCGAGGGGCCGGCAGAGGGAAGTTTCCTGTGGGAACCGTTCTGACTATTTCAGGAGCGCCAGGGGAAATGATAAACTGAAGACAAGTTTGCTGTGTAGTTCTCAGGAATTCTTCCCTTCGTTTGAAAACCTTTTTGGGTTTGTTGTAACCTTGTATCCACTCTCCGGGGCGAGCTTTCGCGGGCTGTGTGCTTGCGGGGAGCTGCGGACACTGCTGTCCCCGAGCTCGGCTAGGCGCCCCGAAAGCAGAACCCCGCCTGGCTGAGCAGTGTCAGAAATTGCGGACCCTCTAACCTGTGGGATTCCCACTCCAGCAGTGTCAGATAGTGTAGTGCTTTTAACATCCTAATTTTTTTTCCTTTTAAATTGACATAATTTCCTTAATTCCGAAATTTAGAGCTTTGGCTTGTTTGTATATGAAAAATACAGCGTGCTTGAAACCAGGAGTCAGCCTTTGGTGGTTGTGTAATAAATAATGAGCCAGTAAAACTAAAGAAATCTCTGGGGTTTTTGTAGTGGGATAAATGTGGCCGAAGTATATAGCATTAAGTTTAATTCTGCTAGGAAGATGTATTTCTGGTTGGGATTCTAGACTTGTGTCAGTATTAGGATAACTAAATGTAGATGGTCATGATATTGCCAAGAGTATAGTTTTCTTCAGTTACTATTTTAGTAAAAATTGATAAGAGGGGGTGAGGCAGAGTAAGAGAAAGAGAATAAGATAGCGGGAAAGATTGAGACAGGCAGGCAGAGACAGAAGCTGGTGAGCAGCCAGGGTGGCTGGTCTAGCAGTGTGAGCCCTTGCTGAGGTTGGCAGAGGGAGAAAAAAAACAGCAATCAGAGTATGTTATCGTCTGAGACTGGAACCTCATGTGGATCTGTCTTTTATGAGTCAGTAAACATCATCAGTATGACTTTTGTTGCATCTGTAGATACCACAATGGTCTTGACTAGAAATTACCCGTCTCCCTGAAGTCACAGCAATGGATTCTCTTACCTCTGTCTCCCTTCTCATCTCTTTAATCTTTCTGAAAGCTCTCACACCAAATTCAGGAAAAAAAAAACTGATTGCAGTTTTACCTGTGTTCATAGGGTTAAGTTTTGAACATGTCCTAAGGCCTTTAAAAATGTAGTCATCCTGTTGTGGCTCTGCAGTAGACATGGAGAAGCCCTTGGAAAAAAGCAAGCTGGTATGTCCAAGAGTGGTCCTACAGGAAACATGCACTTGCATTACTCAAATCAAGGCCTGCTGTGTGAAACACTTGAATATTGAGAGTATTGGTTTAAAGAGCTCTAAGTCTTCAAAATTAGTACTAATAACATACAATCTGTTCTGCTAGTTTATTTTCCTGCTCAGAAAAAAAAAATATTTCATTAGGTTTTATATTTGTTTGATAAAACATTTACAAAATAAATAGTGAGGGTTTTATAAATAGCCATACCAGAAAAATGAAGGTGATGGCTTCTAAATGAATTTCAGTTTGGGAACCACTTAGAGCAGTGAACTTTTGGATTCTTCTTGTAGCACTTTTGCTTGACTTTCCTCTTATAATTCGTAGTTACTTCTATTTCTTATAACCTTGAACAGGTGAACAGCATTCATCCAGAATGCCAATTTCATCTGGAAATACAGGAGGAAGAAACAAAATGTGCAGAGCTTCTGAGCACTCAAACAGAAAAGCACAAAGGTAGGTGGCGATGTGGGGAGTCAGCCTGTGCTCATGGTAAATGGTGAATGTCTGACCACTGCATCTCCAAGCCCCTCTTCTACAGGGCTGAGGATTTAGATCAGTGGTGCTACTGCCTGCCCCAAAGGCCCTTTTCTGCCTTTGAGGGCGAGGGTATGTGCATCTTAAAGGCAGGTCCACTTTCCAGACTTTTATTGAACCAGTGGCAAAACTCATGCAGATTGTGTCAGTGGGGTCACCACACCGATCTTCTAAAACAAAGCCTTAATCCTTAGCAGTGGTAGTTTCTGTGACTGGGGAAGCAGCAGCAGCAGTGACATAATTTCAAGGATTTGTTACGCTTTGCAAGCACAGTTCCACTTTTCCATAGAAGGAGCATTTATCTGAATTCTTGAACTTTAAAATCTTAGCCATGTCACAGTGATTCTTGTCCAGTTAATGACAGTAGAAACTTAGCAGAAAGCAAATAGGAAAATGGACTTCTGTTTTCCTACAGACAGATCTATTGTGAATACTGTGGACCTGCAAATGTGCTTTGAGGGCGCAGAGGGATGCTGGGTGTTCCACCACACAGGCTCATGCTGTGGAGCTCTGGGTCCAGTTTACCCACAGCCTTTTGCCTGTGAGCTTTCTATACTCAGACCGTCGTTTATCCTCTTCAAGAATAAAATTAAAATTAAGGTGAGGTTTTGTCATGACAGCCTGGCACCCTGCCTGCTGAAACAGAATGGGAGCCATGTAGGTAACTGGGATTTTTGAGCAGTCATATTAAAATAATAAAAAGATGTGAGATTACTTTTTTCTTTTTTTTTTCCCCCCAGTACCCAGGGATTGAATTCAGAACCTTGCACTTATGAGGCAGGTACGGTGCCACTGAGCTAAATCCCTGACCCGTGAGATTACTTTAATAATATATTAGCCCAAATATGTCTGCCTATCATTTTGAATTATAATCAACATTAAAATTATTATTTTTATATTTTTCATACTAAGACTTAGAAGCCAGGTATGCTTTTTGCACTTAACAACACATTGCCATTTGGGCCATGGACAGCCAGCGGCTCCCGGGCTGAACATAGTGGCTCTTTTAGAGACAAGCTTCTCTGCCTTCCCTGTCCCCCATGTCCTCATCTGGAAAACAGCACTCTGGCTCCAGGGCCCTTCCAGATTCAGAGTCAGCACATGCTGAGGGCTGACTCTGAGGACAGAATGCCACACTGAGACTGGGTAATTGAGCTCATGGCCACAAGGTCTACTATTTTTTTCCCCATTAAGTTTATTGGTACATTTAAAGTAAACAATACTATTACATTTATTATTGGTATCTTGTACCTTTACATCATATGCCTTGGTTCTTATTTTTTAAGATCTGCTCTTTTCAGTGAAAATCCAGATAACCTAGAAGACAGGACTTGAGGTCAAGTGCTGCTGGGGTCCTAAGGGGCAGCCGCTTGCACCTTCACTCACTGCTCCCTGAGAAAAGGCAGGTTCCACAAGGCCCAGCTCCCTATTTTTAGAGTGTTTACCAAAAATACAAACTTTGCATAAAATATTTCAATTTTTAAAAACTTTGCAAACAATACATTGAAAACAAGCTCTGCAGGAGCAGGCAGACCTCTGTGGCCAGCACTGCGTGCTTTGCGAATGGTGGCTGACTCCTGCTGGGTGTTGCTTCCAAAGATAAGTCAGCACACTAAAAAATACTCCTGAAAGAGTATCTGTGAGCAGCACCAGGGGCCTGGGCCACTCTTCCTGAAATACAGAGCTCTCCTTATACCAGTATAGACAAGGAATACAGTGGTGAGATCCAGGCCACAGAATGCTGCCTTTCCTGGATGCAGCAAAATCTCTGTTTTCTTATGATGACAAGTATCTGCTTTGACTTCTTATATTTCAGGCTCTTAATTTCAATATTACCTCGTAGCAAAAATAGGCAATATGTGTGTCTGATTCCTTTCACTTTTTGACTGGCAAGATGTCCTCTTGCCAGCAGCCCTCTGTAGAAAAGCAGAGCTGACCGGGCACAGTCATCCTCAGCTCTTGCAGAGACAGCGTGTGTCTACAGTGCTTCTTCTTACTCTTTGAAATATGCATGGCTCAAATGCCAGGGATATAAATAGTAGTGAGCTACGAGGATGGGGATACCATAGGTGATGGGAAACAGAGCCCGCAGTGCCAGTGCTGAGTGAGGCCATGGCATGCAAGTAGACGTTTGCTTCACGAAGTCAAAAGTGACATAGAAGTATTTCTCTATGAGAACCACTTTTAGAGTCTATAGCATTAATAAATTTGTGTGGAAGAGCACCAGAAACAAGAGAAAAACTAATTTTCAATTATTTTTTGTTTGTTTTTTTTTTTCTGGTGCTGGGGATTGAACTCCAGGGACTTCCTTCTAAGCTACATCCCCAGCTCTTTTTTTTTATTTTGAGACAGAGTTTTACTAAGTCTCTAAGTTGCCCAGGCCAGGCTCAAACTTCCATTCCTCTTGCCTCAGCCTCCTAGACTGCTGGGATTATAAAGATGTAGCACAACTCCCAGCTACTAGTTTTCAGTTCTAGTGAGGAAATTTTTGTAAGTCTTTTTTACGTGATTGTGTTAGTCGGCTTTCTGTCCCTGCAAGGAAATACTTGAGAAGAAAAAATTTATAGGAGGAGAGATATATTTTGACTCACATATTCAGAGGTTTCTGTCCATGATCAACTGGCTTCTTTGCTTTAGGCCTGAGATGAGACAGAGCATCATGGTGGGAAGCTGTAGTGGAAAAAAGCTGCTCACCTCATGGCAGGTAGGAAACAGAAAGAGCCAAAGAAAGTCCATGGACCAGATACAGCCCCTTCCCTCCAACCAGGCCCTAAGGTCCTGCTTCTATTGGCTCCTAATAATGCCCTCAAATTATGGATTAATCCACCTATGAACTTAAAGACCGGACGATCCAGTCACCTTCCAAACTCCCATCCTCTGAACATGCAGAGACTTTTTAGGAACATTATAGATGCAAATCATAACACCAATGAACAAAAAAAAAAAAAAGTCTGTAACAAATCAAAACAAAAAGCTATTCCAGTTCTGAATGCTTTTAGAGCCCTTGCTCTGTACATTGAGGAGGTAGAGCTCTGTGCCCATACTGATGCATCACTGAGCCCAGCTTAGCCTCGCCACCCCATCAGTGAGTGCGAAGAGGCCACAGATACCTAGCATCCTGCTGAAACCACCCATGGCCTGCATGAGCTGAGGCGGGCGCCTCCCTCAGGGTCTGCAGTACCTCACATGACTTCATGTCATGTCCTGCCAACCTGCTAGAGTGTTTGGCAGAACAGCGGTGTTTGGCAGAGTAGTAGTGGCACCAGCATTTGCTGGGCAGTCCATTTCCTGCATGGCACAGGGCTGAAGTATGGATGTCAAATACTGACTCAGGACCAGGCCTGAGAAGGTGTTAGCCTGAATGGCTCACTTTAATTTGTTTTAAACAAATGATACTAAATGGACTAAGTTCTACATGTCAGGAACTATGAGGGGTCCCCACTTGCAAGTCAACAAGGTAGCTGACCATGGTTTTGTAGATATTGGCAGAAGACAGAAGGGCTAACATCAGAGACCAGAGACTTCCTTCTTGTGGGGCCACACACAATATGAGCTCGCATCCTCAGGGTCCCCTGAAGTCCCTTAGGATGGCTGTGTTTATGAAGGCATCTGTGTCACCCTCTAGGAAACCGCAGCATCCCCTGGGGGCCCCTGGCCAGCCTGCCCTCTATGCTCAAGAGGTTGCCTGGACCATCAAACAGCCTGGGGGAGGGTCAGGGTTACAGCCTCATAAAGATGGCGGGGGCTCTTTGTAGGTGCCCATGGAGACACCTGCATAGGCCAGGTGAATCTGCAGGGGCTGGACATCCTCTACTGCCCAGCTATGTTGTAGAGTCACCTTGCTGGCCACCACTCACTGTAACTGCTGCCCATTCTGCCACATCATGCTCAAAGAGAGGTAGCAGCATATTGTTTCCTGTTATATCTCCCAAATCTACTCCCCCCTTGGTTTTTTGAGATGGAGTCATGCTATGGACTTCAGACTGACCTCAAACTCATGGGCCCTCCCAAATGCTGGGGTTATAGGCATGCACCACCACACCTGGCTTGCATCCCAAGTTTTACAGGCTTTATAGATATTGTAGATTTTATGGAAGGAATTAGTGAATATTCCCACATTCAAAGTTAAGTGGGAGGCTAGGGATGAACTTCAGTGGTAGAGCACTTGCCTTGGGTTTGACCCCAAGAACTACAATCAATCAATAAAATAAAGAAAAGAATGATTTATGTACATAGAAAAATACTGTTTAAAGATATATACAGTGAGAAATGTCCACACCAGACCTCACTGAAGCCAGTGCCAGTCCTTCTTGTGACTCCACACACAGCACCTTCTGTCCTTTGTACACCCACAAACCAGTACACAATGTGTGCATTTACCCTGGTTGTCAACTTGCTTTTTTTCTGTTTTAGTTTTTAATAGTGCATCTGGAGACTGTTCTGCACTGGTTCATAGATGCTATGTAAGAGCTGTGTTGAGACTCTAGTGTGTTCCTTTGGTTTCTCCCAGGCTCCCAGGCAGCTGACATTACTTTGCTACAAGTGATGCCCTAGTTCTTGGGAATGAAATATTTTACCAGCATTTGTAGTGACTTCAAGCTCCTGATCATGAAGTTGGAACAGCTTCTGGTGGTCCAGTTGCCTCACTTTAAGCCACATTCTCATCTCTGTGACATGAGGTCACATCAGATCTACTTGATGACATCCCTGAACTAGACAGAAGACCAGGTCTTCCCAGGGTCTACAGAGCTCTAGTATCTGCAGTGTCTTGGCAGTACTCAAAGCATATGTGGCATCATAGCTGTGTGTGGCCTCAGTTCCCTACTGCCCCACCTTCTTCCTCCATGTTCCTCATGTGGGCTTGTCCATGAGCCAGGGGTGTCGACCAGCAAACCCTGAGTTGACAGCTGTGTTGGCCG